CTGGATTGGAACAAAGGGGGGGGGATATGTGGCATTGCGTGGCAATTCCACGTCACCCAGGGTTCTCAGCCAGAAAGGCTGAGTGGCTCCAGGAAGACATTACTGGTACCAGGAAAGAACTGCCTTTTCAGTCCTTTCCAGGTTTTCTGTATCATAGTTGGGATACTGGAGCCAGGAGATTTCTTAGAGATCTGGGTGGGATGAAATCTCCAGTCCTGGGTCCGTGGGTTAGTAGCGACCAGCACCTAATTGTGCACCTGTTTACATCCCTCATGAAGAGGGTGCTGGGATGTGTTCAGGGCCCCCACCTGAGAGCTCCACCGGGAGTCAGTGTGGAGGCCAGTGCAGCGGGGTGCTGTGGGTTTGTGAAGCCTGTTGTGAGGATTGACACGTTATTGAGGTTGTCTGGGGGAACCAGACAGTGGCCCTGAGGATTAAGGCCGGAGCAGCAGTGCTGCAAGAGAGAACTATTAACCCCTTCATGACTGACGACGTACAGTGTACGTCACCAGCATCGGGGCTGGTTCAACAGACTCCCGGCAGCTTTTGCCGCCGAGACTCTGTTTAAACTTGTAAAGCCGACTGTCGGCTTTACAACAGAAGCGATTCTGGTGACTTACCTGTCGCCAGATCGCTTCTGTGTCCCGAAGAAGGGGCCACCCCCCCGCCGGACACCCCCGCTGTGCTTCCCGGGCTCCGTTGCCCCTCCTACGGGCCTGGGACCGGCTTCCTTGGTGTCCGCGGGGAGCTGGGGAGGAGATCGACGAACTTCCGTTCATCGATCCCCTAACCTCTACTACTGTAAGGTCGCGCGACTTTTATCTTGGGAACATGTTCGAAAACCCGCCGAGCATCGTACGATGTTTGGCGGGTGTGTAGCATGTGCCCAGCCTTAGACAGTGATGGGGTAAACATGTCTGCTGGCTATGTAAAGGGGCTGCTGAACACCATACTGACAAGGGGGCATGTATTGCAGCGGCAGGTTTCCCTCTAAAGTCAGAAGTGCAGAAACAAATAGAGAAGCCATCAGAAATGTTTCCTGGGACCTACAAGAGAGTAGAGAATAGAGACAAAGTCCAGTCCGTGACCCAGAAAGGGGTTAAAGACTGACTTTAGGGAGACCATCATGGACAAAGTATTTGTAGACTGCACAGAAATTACCTGCAAGGAGACTGATAACAGTACAGAGGTGGTCAATGTAGAGACATTGTGTTCTCGTAGCATAGAGGTAACTGGTAGCTTTGAGGAGGGAAAGACTTTGTTTAAAGTAAAGGACTGTCGCTGCTGGAAGCATAGACTAAAAAAGGTGGAACATATCCAGACGGACTGTTTAGGCATGTGTGTTCGCTCCTCTGGATTGGAACAAAGGGGGGGGGATATGTGGCATTGCGTGGCAATTCCACGTCACCCAGGGTTCTCAGCCAGAAAGGCTGAGTGGCTCCAGGAAGACATTACTGGTACCAGGAAAGAACTGCCTTTTCAGTCCTTTCCAGGTTTTCTGTATCATAGTTGGGATACTGGAGCCAGGAGATTTCTTAGAGATCTGGGTGGGATGAAATCTCCAGTCCTGGGTCCGTGGGTTAGTAGCGACCAGCACCTAATTGTGCACCTGTTTACATCCCTCATGAAGAGGGTGCTGGGATGTGTTCAGGGCCCCCACCTGAGAGCTCCACCGGGAGTCAGTGTGGAGGCCAGTGCAGCGGGGTGCTGTGGGTTTGTGAAGCCTGTTGTGAGGATTGACACGTTATTGAGGTTGTCTGGGGGAACCAGACAGTGGCCCTGAGGATTAAGGCCGGAGCAGCAGTGCTGCAAGAGAGAACTATTAACCCCTTCATGACTGACGACGTACAGTGTACGTCACCAGCATCGGGGCTGGTTCAACAGACTCCCGGCAGCTTTTGCCGCCGAGACTCTGTTTAAACTTGTAAAGCCGACTGTCGGCTTTACAACAGAAGCGATTCTGGTGACTTACCTGTCGCCAGATCGCTTCTGTGTCCCGAAGAAGGGGCCACCCCCCCGCCGGACACCCCCGCTGTGCTTCCCGGGCTCCGTTGCCCCTCCTACGGGCCTGGGACCGGCTTCCTTGGTGTCCGCGGGGAGCTGGGGAGGAGATCGACGAACTTCCGTTCATCGATCCCCTCCCCGTTCTATGGGACCGGGAGCGATGCAGATTGCATCACTTCCGGTCCCTGGGCTGTCAGTTCTGGGCTCCTGCAGCCCAGCTATAAGCTATTGAAGTGCGATCTGCACTTCAATAGCTTATTTCCAGTGTAAAGGTGACACTGAGGGTCTTTTGGACCCCCAGCATCACCTTAAAGAGGACCTGTCACCACCATCTGCTATTACATGGGGGGGCTTGCAAGCCCCCCCATGTGATAGCAGTCAAAGTAAAGTAAAAAAAAAAAAAAAAAACAGTTTTTAAAATTAAAATGAAATAAAATAAATCTAATAATAAAAAAAAAAAAATTTAAAAGTACCCCGCCCCCGCGAGCACGCGCGTCGCCACGTAAACACGCGTCGGGTGCGCCTACGTATGAAAACGACGAACGCGCTACACATGTTGGGTATCGCCGCGCACGCCGGAGTGAGAGCAATAATTCTAGGGCCAGTATTTTGGGGTATCTCTAAACTGATGACCTGTGGGGGCGTCTTCTATGGACTTTTTGGGGTACTGCAGTTTTTCGCCGTTTCACGGATGCACGCAATTTTTAACCTGGGCATGTTGGGTATTGTTTTACTCGTTGTAACCTCATCTTTTATATTTAATTAAACAAATTGGTATTTTGTTGTGTTTTGGGGCATTTAATTCAATTTGTCACTAAATTTTGGGGTTTGATAAGGAGTTGCGCTAATATTGCGCAACATAAAAATTTGCAACTACCACCATTATATTGTATAGGGTCTTGGCATTCAGAAAGTCATTTTCAGGCCTAAAATGTGGAATATAACATGGGTGCAAAAAAAAAAAAGGGCTCAGTCATGAAGGGGTTAAAAGACTGGGACACCGTGGGTGTATGGAACAACTCGGTGGTTGGTGAGCAAATATATCTATTCTGCTGCAGCAAGCCATTTTATGTTGGACTTCTTGATTGTCTGCCTTTTGAAAAATAAAAATAAAGACTTTTCGTTAATGGAAAATTACTGTGCGAGTGCTCTGTGAGCTCCCCAACATTACAATATATATATAATATACAGGTGAAACTCGAATATTTAGAATATCTTGCAAAAGTTCATTTATTTCACTAATGCAACCTAAAAGGTGAAACTAATAAATGAGATAGACTCAAAGCAAGATAGTTCAAGCCGTGATTTGTCATAATTGTTATGATTATGGCTTACAGCTCATGAAAACCACAATCTCAGAAAATTAGAATATTGTGAAAAGGTGCACTATTCTAGGCTCAAAGTGTCCCACTCTAATCAGCTAATTAAGCCATAACACATGCAAAGGGTTCCTGAGCCTTTAAATGGTCTCTCACCACACACAGACGGATCCTGGACATGGGCTTCAAATGTCGTATTCCTCTTGTCAAGCCACTGCTGAACAACAAACAACTTCAGAAGTGTCTTACCTGGGGTAAAGAAAAACAGACCTGGTCTGTTGCTCAGTGGTCCAAAGTCCTCTTTTCTGATGAGAGCAAATTTTGCATCTCATTTGGAAAACCAAGGACCCAGAGTATGGAGGAAGAAAGGAGAGGCACACACTGCAAGATGCTTGAAGTCCATTGTGAAGTTTCCACAGTCTGTGTTGATTTGGGGAGCCATGTCATCTGCATGGTGTTGGTCCACTGTGCTTTAATCAACGCAGCCGTCTTACCAGGAGATTTTGGAGCACTTCATGCTTCCTTCCGCAGACGAGCTCTATGGGGATGCTGACTTCATATTCCAGCAGGAAGTGCGATGTTACTCTTACGCCAGATGTAATGGGACACGCCTTCCAAAAAGTTCAACTTTTCTCTCGTCAGTCCACAGAGTATTTTCCCAAAAGTCTTGGGGATCATCAAGATGTTTTCTGGCATAACGGAGACAAGTGTTTATGTTCTTTTTGCTCAGCAGCGGTTTTCGTCTTGCAACTCTGCCATGCAGGCCATTTTTGCCCAGTCTCTCTCTTATGGTGGAGTCATGAACACTGACTGAGGCAAGTGAGGCCTGCCATTCTTTGGATGTTGTTGTGGGGCCTTTTGTGACCTCTTGGATGAGTCGTCGCTGCGCTCTTGGGGTAATTTTGGTTGGTCGCCCACTCCTGGGAAGGTTCTCCACTGTGCCATATTTTAACCATTTGTGGATAATGGCTCTCACTGTGGTTCGCTGGAGTCCCAAAGCTTTAGAAATGGCTTTATAACCTTTTCCAGACTGATAGATCTCAATTACTTTCTTTCTCATTTGTTTCTGGATTTCTTTGGATCTCAGCATGATGTGTAGCTTTTGAGGATCTTTTGGTCTACTTCACTTTGTCAGTCAAGTCTTATTTAAGTGATTTCTTGATTGCAAACAGGTGTGACAGTAATCAGGCCTGGGTGTGGCTAGAGAAATTGAACTCAGGTGTGATAAACCAGAGTTAAGTTATGTTTTAACAGTGGTGGGGGGCAAACACAGGGCCTGTGGGTTTAGATTTTGTTTTCCCTTAATAATAAAAACCTTTCTTTAAAAACTGCATGTTGTGTTTACTTGTGTTATCTTTGACTAATATTTAACTTTGTTTAATGATCTGAAACATTAAAGTGTGACAAACGTGCAAAACAATGAAAATCAGGAAGGGGGCCAACACTTTTTCACACAACTGTATATAACCTTTAAAAGTAATATCAACCTTCATTGTTTGCATATAGTTGGCGTTATTTTTGTATTTAATTCACAAAATGTTGAGACTATATTTTTCTATAATGAAGTAAGATTACATACAGCACTATACAGTTTTAAAGGGAACATTTCACCTGTCACTTGGCAAACATGAATGAATACAAAATGTTATATCAAAGTTCCTTTTTTCTTAAATTTAGAAGCAAACCACCATCAAGTTACCTGCATCCTCTTCACCTCCTATGGAAGAATGGGCTTTGGTCAAAGCAAAACCTGATCAGGCTTTGCTATGTCAACACATAGAGAAAATGGTGGAGGTAAGTAGATTGCTGCTGCCATTTGCAATTCTTCGAATAATAAACATTGATGATGCAGTCTACTCATTTAAAGGAAATCAGTACTGGGAAATGTTTTTTTAGGACCACTGCTGACTTCTCTTCTAAAAATGCTAGTTGTTTGACTTTAATAGTAATCCAGTGTCTTCAGTACTTTTATAGACCCTGACTTTGAAGACATACAGTATGTAGATTAGATGTTCTGACGGTTTCATTCTTCATGCTGTTTCTGTGTCAGTGAAATCAAACACAACCAAGTGACTAGCAAGGCGATCAGCACTAAATTCATCAATACATATATCTCTCAGTACAGCTTTCCCTTAAAATAATGTTTAAGTAAGAAATAAATGTATCTGTATATCAAAGTGCACTGACACAAGTAAAAATAATTGGTTTCTATAGGCCTAAAAGTACAGTAGTTTCTTTTTTAAGAATTTCACAAACAGTTGAAAATGACTTGCTATGAAATTGAGGGAAGTCTAGCCAAAGATGGTCAGATATCTAGAAAAGCCAGGACTCACAGCTCCATTCCACCTCTGACTGCAAGTCAGTATACGCACAATTGTCTTATAGCCGCGGACAGTGCCTGAATGCACAGTCTGCACCAGGCAGAGGGCAGGACTGGATTAACGTAGGGGCGGGCACTGACCGCCTGGAGCCCCTACTGATCGCCCAGAGCTCGCACTGATCGCCCGGAGCCCGCACTGACCGCCAACAGCCCGCACTGACCGCCAACAGCCCGCACTGACCGCCAACAGCCCGCACTGACCGCCAACAGCCCGCACTGACCACCCAAAGCCTGCACTGACCACCCAAAGCCTGCACTGACCACCCAGAGCCCCTACTGACCGCCCACAGCTCATATTGACCGCCCAGAGCCCACAGTGACTGCCCGGAGCCCGCACTGACTGCCCAGAGCCCGCACTGACTGCCCAGAGCCCACATTGGC